TTTTTTGTTTTTGTGATATGAATTTTTGAACTTCGAAACAAAATTTTTCCAAACTAAATTAAAAATAAATTTAAAATAAATAAAAATTGTTTAACAAAGTTCGAAAATTCATATCTAAAAAAACACATCGAAAATTTCAGGATATTTTAAGATCAGTTTGAGGTATTGTGTGCAAAAATTTAGGTAAACATTTTTACAAGTTCTCGGATTTTTTTTTTATTTCGAAATTCTGTAATTTTATTTTTAGATTTTTTAAACAGACCAGAACCACTTTTTTCACTATAATAGTTTTTGAGATAGTCTCAAATTAAACCTGCAAAATCCCGAAAATTGTTAAACTTCGAATTTCGCATAACTTTGGAAAAACAAATTTTAATTTCATACGTGGAGTAAACCAAAGTTTTGGCCAAAATTTATGCTAATAAAAACAGGTAAATTTCAAGCACTTTTCGATAAAGTTTGACATGGATTTGTATATGTAGGTACATATACATTTCTTCTTACCTTATTTTAGAATACATACGTATACAATAAACAAATCTGCATATATATATATATAAATGTACATACAAACAAACATATATATCTGCAAGTGCATTATTTGCCTGCATTTCTGCTCCAAAGATTTATGCAATTAGCTAGCAGCGAAACAGGGTTAAAAGTGTGTTTATGTTTTTTAAAATCCGTCAATTTGTTCATATATGTATGTATGTATGTATAATGTGTGTGCTCGTTTATCTGACAAATTAAAAGAAACGAAAAGTGAATTTACACCTTGAAGTTGTGCAATTAAAATATGTTTTTGCTATGCACATAAAAGTAGTGATTTTGCATGTATGTATGTATGTAAGTACATGCATACCATACCCTGCAGGAAATGTACCTAACTGTAAGCTAACTTTAAGTTGATTAGGAAGGAGCTATAAGTCACTTATTATCCTTATATTTTCTTTGACGAAACCTAACTATATTGCTATGGCGATGGCCGCGAAATAGTCAAGGGTGGTTACCTCTGCATTTGATGTAACTAACTTATAACTAACTAATTTTGGGCATAAAATATCAATAGAAAAAAACAAAAAAATTTTTATTAACTTTTTTATTTATTTTTTATTTATTTACTTTATTTATTTTATCACATTTCAAATTTTTTTACATATTCTGCTGTAGGTGGTCCCATATTCGAACTCCGTCACACATAACTTCAAAATGATAATATGAAACTTCGATCTTCCTTTTATTTGCCCTCAATTCGAAAAAGTATTTGCGAAGTGCAGGATATTTAAATAGAAACGCGTTTAAAGAAAACAATCTCTAGCTTTACTCCTGCATTTCTTGTCCACTTGTTTCAAGTTAACTTTTTGTAGCTAACTACAAGTTACATATTTTATGGAAATCCCGAAAAAAAGCTAACTACAAGTAGGTTATTTTTTATCAATTGATAATTTCTTTCTGCAGGGTAGTCACACATCAACGTATTTGTATATCTTTGTTAAAATTGCGACTAGTTCAGAGTGAATTTGTACAGTAAAATGCGAGTAGTACTAGTTTTGATCTATTTGAAGAGGGATCTGCCTAACAAGCAACAAATACAAGCAACCTACTCATGCACCGTATTAAGTTTGAAAGTGCGTAATTAATGAAAAAGCGAGAAGTATAAACACGTTTTAGGTTTATTTAAGTTGTTGGCTTACCTTCTCAGATTGCACTCGTATATTTATTAAAGTTCTGAAAAGAAATAAAAAATGTGCAAAGTTAGTCAGAGTACTAAAAGAGATTAAAATAATTAAAAAATCGGCATTTGTATCTCCAATAAATTTTTCAAAATCACTTGAAATCTATTTTAGTCTAAAACACTGGTAAATATGCTTGCAAATATTATCAAAAAAAAAAAAAAATAAATTTAAGGATTTTAAATTACAATAGACAATCAAGCGTTGCTTGATATTCTCAAATAACAATAATCTGCACTGTTCGTTAGAGTGATATGATTGGACAGAATTTTAAAATTACATATTTCCAGTGGTTTGTATTACACAAAGATATTTATGAGGTTTTCATTTATTTTCCAAACTGAATTTAATATATTTAAATAGCTCTTATTTTCGATTTAAAATAAATTTTTTTTTTTAATTACTTCAATAATACCAATGCCTCCCCGTACATATCAACCTTGGGTTTGACATTTTCGTATCCCAGGAAAAATGCAATTATTAAAATTAGAGCTAAATAAGTTGAAAACCGGCCCTTAGACTTTTAAAATGGCATCAAGGCCTGTGAACAGCTGTAAAACTCTTTTGAAACACCTGGGAGCCCACAATTGCGTAGCTCTGTGGTGGGTTCTGGGACATGAAAGGTTTGAAGGCAACGCAAGTGCTGACTGTCTCGCAAAGTGTGGAACTCAAATGGGCCTGCATGGTCCCCAGCCGTTCTGCGGTACATCTAAAGAAGAGTACACTGCAGAACTACTTAGGAGTTGGGAAGAATCTCAGATTGCTGCCCACTGGCGGAAGTCGCAAGGAATAAGACAATCACAGAGATTCATAACTCCTTCCTGGAGGAACTCCGAAAGACTCCACACGGCAAGTTAATGTACTATTCGAATGAAATGGGGCTTTCTGTCGAGACGGACCGCAGGTGTTGTGGGCTGGTGGAGGAAGCCTCAGAGCATATTCTATGTGACTGCCTACGTATCTTGAATAGCAGACTGATACACCTTGGAGAATGATTGTCTTCTCAATCAGAAATTTGGAACCGTTCAAAGTGTTTCGCTTTTAAATAGCCCTAGCTTGAAATGATTACAATTAGGATTTAACATAGTAGATCTTCTTAGGTCGCAGCGCGAGTATCCCTGACGTAATAATAATAATAAAAATATGCATGTATGTATGTATTTGTAAAGAGATATACATTTGTATAAGACTGTACAGTAAAATGAATTGCTATAAGCAGTTAGTTTGTTTTTATTGTATTAGCTGTGTTTTAGTTTAGTTCATCTTACATTATCTACATTTTTCATAAACTTGACATTGAAAAACAATATTAAAAACTCAAAAAAGCGCTATTGATTTTTTTGGCATAGAGTCTAAATATTAAGATACCAGCCAAAAATACTATAGAGTTTTGAGTTGACCTACCAAATTTTGTTCGGCTCGAAGCACTATATCATATGACACTCTTGAAACTTGTTTCGCAAACTTTTGACTTCTGAAAAGAGTTCTCGCATTTTAACTGCTCCCACGCATGCATGGCTAAATACGCAATCGGACAACAAAACGCGATAAAAATTAAGGGGCCATCAAATCATTATTCTACATATCTGGACTAATGTTTTCCATAGTAACACTTTTTAAACATTTAAACTTTTCAAACACCAAGAACTTAAAGTTAAGGAATATTTTCTCTAAATTCTTCTACGACAATGGAAATTTCAATCAGTTGACTTTGAAAGCACTCTAATGAAAAAGTATTGCCATCAGGATTGAATTTTAATAAGTTTTTTACTAATTGGGATATGAAGATTTAGGAAATAAGTTAAATTTTAAAATACAAGACCAAAAAAATTGGTATTTATGCCAAAAATATGAGCATCGTTCCCATAGTGCAGTGTTAGACTTCCATAAATGTATGTATTTAAAACCTTTGCCCTAACTTTGAAGTGACTTAAACAAAATGGGCGAGTAATGAAATTTACTTTCTGATTTGATTTTTTTTAGATCAGCAAAAAAATTAGCACAACTCAACTTTAGAAAGCATTGCTTGACGAACGAATTAAAAGGCACACCGAGACCTAAAGACAACAATGCATGCATATCGTTTTCTAGAATTTTTTTGCAGTGTGTAAGTATATAAATATGCCAAAGAGCAATTTGTTGTAATTAAAAGTCAAAAAGGTACAATGGGAATTGAAAAGTTGTAATGAAAACCAAAAGAACAGCAACAACTCTCTGTGGCCTAAATGCCAAAAGAAACCAAATACATACATAAATAATAAAATAGAACTTTGGGTTCATTAGAGAATGAAAAGTTGTAAATCATGTTTTTGTTGGCGCCTTGGTTTAATTCTTTAATAGCTAACCAGTGGGGTGGCTAAGATGTCAGTCAAGTCACGGTCGTAGCGATATCGACGAAAAAATTCTATGCTATACAAAATGCATATATGTATGTATATGTATGCACATGCAAGTACAATAAAAAGTTGTGTTGCAAGTGTTTAAATTGCTGTTGATTAGCTGATTGTAAGTTTAACTTTTTCTTTTACATATGTATATATGTATGTGCTTACGTACGTACAAATTTTTTGTTATAGCTTCGCTCAAATGCATTGTGGTCTATACATTTACATAAGCCAACAATGATTTGCTTAAGTGGCGGCTGATTGTTGAATTGCAGGTGGTCAGTCCGGACATAGCACATTTGTTGGCTGGGTGCATAATAAGAAATACTTTAAATGATGCAGTAAAAAATGGAAAGCGTGAATGTGTGGTTCGTTTGCTGTCAGCAACGGTAATTTCAACACTCTTGCGGTTTATTGTTCTTTAGCTTCCTTTCTCCTTTAATCGAGTTCGTGTTGTATTGGCAAACGATTTTATTTATTCTTTCACTTTTCCTACAGTTTCATTGAAAACTTTTCCACTTTTCTTTAACGATTTCCTTATGTTATTATTATTGTTTTTGCATAAATTTAATTTATCGTGCATTTTTTGTTATTTCTGCGCTCTAATTGCATTTGACACGAAATTGTGATTTATTCTAGGCAGCTTTATTACACCAAGCGTTCGTTCGTTGAGTACATAGTTCATTCGATTGTACCCCAACTCGCGCTGTTGTCGCCGCTACTGCCGCTGTCGCAGCTGTTGTTGTCCTAGAAAGAGGTCGTACGTGTTAACCTTGATTTTGTTGTGCAACAGAACTGTGATTTACAAGTAGACGTGGTTTTATGCTTTTACTTTTTTTTTTTTGCTTTTTTCATGTGTCTTTTTTTTAAGATCGTTGAAGTAGGCAATATCAGGTTTTCGACTTTGTTTTGTAATGATTTTTTCTTCAATATTTGTTAGATTTGCTAATGAAATTAACTTGATCTTTATTCTGTGTTGTATATTTCTGTGAACTTGTAAACCTCAATAAGAAGAAGTATTTATACGGCCTTTAACTAGGCTATCTTAACCCTATGATTCGAACCTGATTCAAGAGCTAAGATAGTACTGTTAGTTCCCTCGTAAGCTGGGCTACCATATTTCCCGAAAATAGCTAATCTTTGATTCAAATTTTCTCTGGGGAGGAGACCTTCAAATATTGAGATTAGCACAGAAACCAAAATTTGTACAGGCCTTAGGTATAATATTACAAATAAAATATTAAAAGAGCTCTCCTATACAAGTCTGATAAAAAAAAAAGTATCCAAGGCCGAAGGTCATCTTTTGCATAATTCTCACGATCACAAATTTTAGTCCAATGCCGATGTAGAATTGCTCGGTTATTACGCTTAAAAGAGAGTGGGTCCACTTGATCACTTATCTCTTACGAAACAATTGAACAATCGTAGTACCAAATACGGCAAATGAAAGCCAATGAAATTTTCCAAGAATAAATCACTTTACGATTGGCTCGATAGTTTCTGAGAAATTAAATAATAACTCCAGATTTTTTGTTTTGTTTTATTAAAAAATTTAAGAAAAATCCAACTTTAACAGTGGAAAAGTAAAACAATAAGGACTGTTCTGATAGCATAATAGGTGGCAACTCTTTGCGAAAAACTAAAACCAGTTTGCACATCTACAGGCCAAGCGCTTTAATTTGACCCCCCATTTTTTTTTAAATCTAGCGAACGGTGCGCGTATTACATATAGATGCTAAAGAATTTAGCAGTGGTCAAGGCGAATTCATATAAGGCTTTCAAATTTAAAAAAAAAAACCTTGCTGACTTTGACTTTTAAGTCATCTCAAATAATTAAATTGCAACATATTGTAAATACATATCGAGCCCTAACCGCCAAAATAACGTAAGCGACAACTCTAGATGCTTTGAAATATTTCTGAATCGTAAAAATAATTTTCAAAAACATTTCGCTTACGTTATTTTGGCCGTTGGGGCTCGATATAAAGTACATATTCCCATTAAAATTCATTTCACTTCAAAAGATACAAATTTATCATAAATACTTTGCTTTGTATAAGTTTCTCATTCTGTCACTTTGATTTATGATCAACGAAATTGCTTTTAATGCCGTACACATTTCTGCAAATTATCGACTCCATAAAAATTTATTACATTTCAAAGTTTTTATTCGCTGACTATTCGATTTCGCTGTCGTAAGCGTTCATTGCCCTTGGCATCCCTTCATAAATTACAATTCGCCAGCATATTCGAATTGCTCTGAATCATCAAGTTAACATTTGAATTTGAAGCGATGACGGCAAAAGAGAAGAGACGCCAGAATACTAAAACAAAACTTGTTATATATTTTGACAAACTCAATTTGTGCACTCAATTTGTAGTTATGCAAAACGTCAATTAACCTCAATTCAGCTCACGTAGCGTCGCAGTTGCCGCAAAGAGGGTGACCGTGGTGAACGCGTTGATGATGTTTTAGCTACAGGGAATACTAATAAAAAGTTTTTTTTTTTTAAATTTCGCATAAACAATAAGTAACTACGCGTGCGCAAAATTATTTGTTGACGCTTCATTTTGATTTCGGATGGTCATTAAAGTCGTTCGAATTTTGCAC